ACACATGCTCTCACACACGCTCACACACACGCTCACACACATGATCACACAGACACGCACACACACATGCTCTCACACACGCTCACACACACATGATCACACAGACACGCACACACACATGCTCTCACACACGCTCACACACATGATCACACAGACACACACATGCTCTCACACACGCTCACACACATGCTCACACACACACGCTCACACACTCACACACTCACATACGCTCACACACACATGATCACACAGACACGCACACACACATGCTCACACACACACTCACACACACGGTCACACACACACGCTCACACACGGTCACACACACATGCTCACACACACACGGTCACTCACACACGCTCACACACATGCTCACACACATGCTCTCACACACACGGTCACACACACACGCTCACACACATGCTCACACACGCTCACACACACACATGCTCACACACAAGCTCACACGCTCACGCACACACACGCTCACACACACATGCTCACACACAAGCTCACACACACATGCTCACACATGCTCACACATGGTCACACACATGCTCACACACACGCTCACACACATGCTCACACACATGCTCACACACACACGCTCACACACACACGCTCACACACACGGTTCCTGCTCCCACCTCACAAATCACACACACAAGCTCAACACGGTCCCACACACGCACACACAAGCTCACATGTGGTCCCCTCCCCCCATGCTCAACACAGCCCCTCCCACTCACGTGACTCACACGGTGACATCTGCCCTGCTTTGATTTATATTTTACAATTTTATGGGAATCGTGTTTTCTCTCCTGTGTCTTTGACTTCCAGCTGTTTCTTTGCAGGCTGCCACATAGTTTGGCATTCTCTGTTGATAGCCTCGTGGGTATGGTTTTGGGGAGGACTCCAGAGGAAGGAGTGCATGGTGCCCACTCCATAGCCACACTCGGTGCCTCTGTGACCGTTCTGTTGCCAGGCCTGCTGTCTGTTTGGGCCTGGAGGTTTGCAGGACTGTCATCTGAGGCTCTGTCTCCCGTTGTCTCCCATGGCCCTGGACTGACTTGCTCGTTTCGCATGAGTGCTTGCAGAGTAGCATCTTCCTGCTTCCGTCCTTCCTTCTGGGTTTAATCTCTTCATCTGCCAGTTTTCCTGTTTCACGCTGTCCTGTGTTTCATGCTTTCCATCTTGTTCTTCCTGCTCCAGGGATGGCCCCCAGAACCACTGGTAGGGCCCTGCAGGCTTGCTCCCCCACCTCTGCATGCACCCGCACCCCATCACCCTTGTCCTTGTGGCGGGATGTCAGACCCACCCTGCCCTGGCTGCCTCAGCCTTGTTCGCTGCCAGGTACCCGGTGGGGTGGTGGCAGCTGGCTCTCTGTGACTCCCCCAGGAGCCTGGAGTTCTGTGTGCAGGCTTCCCTGTGTGTTACCCTCACACCAGCCTAGGGTGGTCAAGCAGCAGAAGGCATGGTTCGTTTATTTCACATCACAATTTGAAAATGCTGGTGCAGTAGCCTAGTGAATAAATCCTTGCCCTGCGTGCGCTGGGATCCCATAAGGGTGCTGGTTTGTGTCCTGACTGATCCACTTTCTCTGTCTCTCCTCTCTGTAAATCTGACTTTCCAATAAAAATAGTAAGTAAACCCTTTTTTTTTTTTTTTAAGTTTATTGAGCAGGGACTTAGTCTTAAGCATTCAGGTCTTAGTCTTTGTAGGGATAAAAAAAGAGGTGGGAGTTGGTTCCTGTCCTGTGGCCAAGTGGCTCAGTTGGTGGCAGAGTGACTGGAGCTGAAAGGGACTATGGAGAATGCCTCACCTTGTGGACGAGGCGCTGTCCTCGGGTGAGGGTTCCTGCGACGGGACGGGATCTGTAATGGGGCCTGGAAAGTTTCCCAGGTGGTTCCAAATTGTAGGCAGGGCTGTGTGGGCAGCGCCGCCTATGCCGACCACTGTGGAGAACATGAGTGCTGGGCGTCTCGTCTGGTTCCGGAGCTCTGGGAGAGTCTAGCTCAGCCTCTGTTAGGATGCTTCTTCCTCCTGTGTCTAACTCACGGCGCTGGCTCACGGTGCTTGCTGGTCGCCTGCTTGGAGTCAGCCAGCGTCCCACAGTCAAGTGCTCTCAGTGTTGGAACAGAGGAAGTGGTGGCAGGTTTATTTTTTGTTGTTGTTGTTTTTCTGGAATTGTTTATATGTTCAGAGTGCCGGAGAGATACTCTGGTCCTTTTGTTCACTACCCAGAGGGCTGCAACAGCCAGGCCTGGGCCAGGCCTATGCAGGGAGCCAGGGTCCCATCCAGGTCTCTCCTTGGGCCATGCCTGCTTGCCTCTGGGGGGCCCTGCCGGAGAGCAGCCAGGGAGCTCACAGTCTGTGATGTGAGCAGTAGGCACCGTGACCCGCACCCCCAGATGCTGTGTCCTCAGGCCTGGGGTGAGCCTTCCTGTGGTGTGGACTCTGCAAGGGGTGGATGGGCATGCGCCCCAGGAGCCCAGTGTCCTGCCATGGGGGGGGTGTAGATCAGCAGGTGGGCAGTGTAACAACATCTGGCCATGGGCTGAGCAGTAGGGGTTGCCTCCTTCCAGGTTAACGGTCTGACGATGGGACTGGGGTTGAACCTCTCAGGTCTCCCTCCTTCCCTGCGCCCTGAAGAGGCAGGGCTGGCTGCCTGCCCTTGGGCAGGTGCCCAGTGCAAACAGGGACTTGGCTACAGCCCCCCACGCCCCTCTCAGCAACGGTACTCTTACCTGCCCCTCACCCCGTCCCTCCCCTACTCCCTCCTCCCTTTGTTCCTCGCCCTCCTGTCCACACTCTTTCCTGCCCCCATGCCCTCACCTGCTCCTCCTCCTCTGTACCCTCCCCTGCGCCCTCCACTGCCCTTACATGCCTCCGCTTCAGCTAGGAGTCACTGCTCGCAACACTGTCCCCTGCTGTCCCTCCAGGCTCTGGCTACACGAGTGTCTGCTGTCCCCGCCCCGTCTGCCCGTACCCCCCAGGGTGTGATGACAGCTCTGCTGACCTCATGTTCCCGTGCTCAGATGTGCAGGCAGGCCACCTGAGCAGCAGATAGCTCCCAGAAGGAAGATTTGCTGAAGGGTAGCCTGGAAGCCACCTGTGCTTGGCTGGACATGAAACCAGCATCAGTTATGCTATTGTCATTCAGCTTTTCCTTTCTTCCTTAAATTTGCCTTGTGAGTCACTTAAGGTGGAAGTCACTGTCCTGTCCTCACCGGGCTCTTAGGCCAGGAGTGCGCCTGCCACCTCCTCAGTGGCCAGCCCGAGCTGCCCTCGAGGCTCCTGCAGCTGAGCCATGAAAGCCGCAGGGAGCGGAGCTTTCCAGGTGGTCGTGGGTGGAGAGCAGGTTGTGGGTGGGGGGGCGGCTCTCCATCGGGCTGCCTCAGCCTTAATGCTGCCTAGAGTTTTGACAAGCTATATGGTGCCTTGCTTTTAATTAAGCTTTTCTTTGTTTTTAGATAATTATAGAATCACAGCATATCCATTCACAAGTTGAATATCCCTTATCCTTGTCCTGCTCAGGCGGCAGGAACCTCGGGGCTTCCTGTTCTGGGGCTCTGGCAGGGGAGGGGAGGCGTCTCTGGTACTGTCCCTGGTACTGCGTCCCTGTCCCTTCCGTGCCCGCCCTCTACGTCCCAGCAGCCGCTGGTCCACGCTGAGTTTCTGTGCCTGGATTCCCCTGGGACCCCAGGGGCAACGGAGAGCATTTGGCCAGCACATTTCTCAGGCTGGTCCTGGGTGGCTGAAGGCTGGGCCCCCTGTGGTTGGTTGCTTACTGCCTGGGGCTGGGCTGAGCCAAGCTGCCAGGACGCTAGCCTGAGGTTTTGGGGGACCCCCCTCAGTGATGAAGACCTTGCACCACATGGGGTGGTGTTTTGGGTTTAAGGTTTAAGCCACTACTAGGCTTTATAGGTGGTTCGCTGTGGCCTGCCTGTCCAGCCCCACGGCACAGCCCGTGCGCCGGGAGCCCCCTGCAGCTGCGTGCCATTGACTGACCGCTCCTGCATCTGGGCTGGGCTCAGGCAGCTGCGGGTCTCCATCTTCGTCTGTTTCCTAATTGGATTTTAAAACATTATTCAGGTTTTTAAAATTATGATAAAATACATACAATTTTACCATTTTTTTAAAGATTTATTTATTTGAAAGGCACAGTGATATGAGAGAAAGAATCTTCCACCCTCTGGTTCCCTCTCTAAACAGGACCAGGCAGGAGCCAGGAACCAGGAACTACATCTAGTCTCCCACGTGGCTGTCAGGGCCCAGGTACTTGGTCCATCTTCTGCCACTTACCCAGGCACATTGGCAGGGAGCTAGATGGGAAGTGGAGCACCCAGGCCTTGAACCAGTGCCCCATTGTGGAGGCACTGGAAGCCTTCGATGGCTCTCCCATTGCTTGTCTCTGAGTCTGTGCCATTGTGTGTGCTGTGTAGGTCTGGGTGTTGGTCTGGTGGCGGTCCTACAGGAACCACCGTTGTGAGCGTTGCCCTTGTGGGTGAGCCTTAGCTCTGGCGTGAGCGCGTCCTCTCAGCTGACTTCCAAAAGCCTGCTTGCTGATCTAGCTGCTTTGCCTTCCCATGTACACTTTAAAATAATGTCATTCATAGCTACAAAAAAAAAAAGAAAGAAAGAAAAGAAAAGCACAGACTTACTGGGATTTTGGTTGGAATGACAGTGAACTAGCCGTGGGAGAAGAGTTGACGCCTTTCCATCTGTGGCATCAGATCTCTCCTTTCCTTTTAAATGGTGCTTATTTGAGAGACTGGGAGGCAGAGAGAGCATGTGTCCTCAGGACAGTGCCAGGCTGGTCTGAAGCTCGGCCTCTCTGCGGCTTGGGCCCTGAGTCCGCACAGCAGGTGGCTGGTGGGTTCCGCGGCCTGGAGTGTGGGGTGGCGGCTGGGGGTGTGCAGGGAGCTCTCTGGAGCGGCGTCTGGCAGCTGTCAGGCGGCTCCTTGGCCATTTTCTCCTTCTTCTTTTTGTGCACACAGGCCTATGAAAGGAGGTTCCCGACCTGTCCTCTCATCCCCATGTTTGTGGACAGCGACACTGTGAATGAGTTTAAGAGCGAAGACGGGGCCATCCACGTCATCGAGAGGCGCTGCAAGCTGGACGTCGACGCCCCCCGGCTGCTCAAGAAGGTGCCCGGGCTCGGAGGAGGGGCTGCCACCCCCACCGGCTGCCATGGCACGGGCATGCTGACAGGCCCCTCTCTTTCTGTTTTCAAGATTGCAGGAGTTGATTATGTTTATTTTGTCCAGAAAAACTCCCTGAATGCCCGGGAACGCACTTTGCACATTGAGGCCCATAACGAAACGTTTTCAAATCGCGTCATCATCAATGAGCATTGCTGTTACACTGTGAGTGACCGTGGCGGTGCAGGCCCTGGATGGGGCAGGGCCGTCTGTGTTGGGGAGGGCCCTCGGCCGCAGGCCTGCAACTCGTGCCAACTGCGGGGTGCTGACCCCTGCCACAGGCCACTGCCACTGTCCCAGTCAGTCCCCTGGCGATGCTGCAGAGGGACCGCCATGCTGGGTGCTAGGAGCGTCTGTCTTGCCACCTGCACCACCTCCAGCAGGAACGGCTGTCACTAGGCCCTTCCCGAACCTGCTACTGGCTCTTTGCACTCCGCCTCCCCCCACCACGACGTGTCCCCCCACCAGGGCTCATGCGCTCCCCAGGGTTGCCTCACACCACTTCTCAGCCCCAAAGCCTTACAGCCTTGTTTCCTCAGGGGAAAAGCCCCAAGTCCTCGGTGTGGCCCATGGAACCCCGTTCTTACGCAGTCACTTCTCTGCTGTCCCTTTTTTCTCGTGCATGGTCCATGGCCTTCTGCTGCCGGGCCAGGCCTGCCGGCCCCGCCTCCTCCCACCCCTCCCAGTCGCTGCTCCACTGCCCCGACCGCAGGGGGCCAGCCCGGATCCTCGGTGGATTTTGTTTTTCTTTAAATCAAGATGTACGCATGTATTTGAAAGGCAGAGTTAAAGAAAGGGGAGAAGAGACATGAAACGATTTTCTGCCTGCTGGTTCACTCGTTAAATGGCGTAACAGCCTGAACTGGGCCAGGCTGAAGCCAGGAGCCAGGAACTTCATCCGGATATCCTCCATGGGCTGGCCTAGTACGTGGGGCCCTCCTCCACTGCTTCGCCAGGTGTATTAGCAGGGAGCTGGAGGGGTGGAGCTGCCAGGACTAAAGCTGGCACCTGTTGGGGTGCCAGCCTTGTAGCCGTAGTGTCGGCCATGATTTTTTTTTTCTTTCAAAAATTTATTTATTTATTGGAAAGGCGGATTTACAGAGAGGAGAGACAGAAAGATCTTCTATCTGCTGGTTTATTCCCCATATGGCTTCAACAGCTGAAGGTAATCCAAAGCCAGGAACTTCCGGGTCTCCCACTTGGGTGCAGGGTCCCAAGGCTTTGGGCCATCCTCACTGCTTTCCCAGGCCTCAGGCAGGGAAGGAAAATGGAGCAGCTGGGATGTGAGCCAGCTCCCGTATGGGATGCCACACTTACAGGTGGAGGATTAGCCAACTGAGCCATTACATTGGCTCCTGGGTCTTTTGACCCAGCTTCCTTTTTTCCAGTGACTGTGTCTTTGACCTGCTACGTCTGTGCCTGGTCATCTGTCTCGACCTGCTAGGCTGGGCTAGGGCTCTGTCCGATTCAGAAAGAAGAAACGTTGGGTGGAGGAGTGGAGCAGGGATGGGGGTGGAGCGCTCCTTTTCGAGTTACTGTGTGGTTTCCTGGAGAAGCCACAGGAGGCTTCCCCTGTAGGTGTGTCCTTCCAGTCAGAGTGGTGGGTCTTGGGTCAGGCTGGTCAGTGAGCGTGCCTTCTCTCTGTCTGCAGGTTCACCCCGAAAACGAAGACTGGACTTGCTTTGAACAGTCTGCGAGTTTAGATATTAAATCTTTCTTTGGGTTTGAAAGTACTGTAGAAAAAATCGCAATGAAGCAATATACCAGCAACATTAAAAAGGTGACTTGGCCTTGGGGTGCTGTGGAGTCTCCGAGTCACCCTGTGTCACAGTGCTTGGGGGTGGGCTGGAGGTGCCGGCAGTTTCTTGAAGAGGAGACACTTTGAACCCCAGCCCCTGCCTCATCCTCACATGTCGGGGTTCAGATAGGGGCTGCCCCTGGCTGCGGCAGGTTCTGCCAGGTGGGCAGCCTCCTCACTGTGGTCCTGGTAAGCGGCTCACTGCGCGGCTCCTGGGGTGGTTAGTTCGCCCTCCAGGAGAGCCTGGTGCAGTTGGTGCCACCACCTGTTGGCCATGTGGCAGCAGTGTGGATTAGGAATGCTCTCTGAAGGCCGGCTGAGGGCACGGCCGTGCTGGGAGCGCTGGATGGCTGTGGGTAGGGTTCAGGCGCTTCCGTGACACTTCATCTGCAGTGTTTGCCAGCACGGGGCAGGCCTCGATTCTCCGGGGGTTCTCTGGGTAGAGGGACAGAAGACCCAGGTGCTGCCGGGCGCTCACCTCCAGGTGTCCTGCAGGGCAAAGAGATCATCGAGTACTACCTGCGGCAGCTGGAGGAGGAGGGCATCACCTTCGTGCCGCGCTGGACCCCGCCTTCCGCCACGCCTTCCGCAGACACGTTGTCAAGCAGAACGCCAGCAGTGGCCGCGGCTGCCGTCACCCCAGATGCCGCCCTCAAAGAGGGGCTGTGCAGCGAGGCCTCCAGCACCCCTGGCGGGGGGCCCGAGACCCCTGCAGGAACTCCTGACGGTAAGGCAGAGGCTGCTGCCTTCTTAGGGTGGGCTTGCCCCGCCACCCCCTGAGCTGAAAGTGACACACAGGGAGGTACCGCCTGCTCGCTCGCTCGCGTTCGGCAGCGCCTCTTCGGTAGGGCCAGGGACTCTGGATTGCTCTTTTTTATTATTATTTTTTTTAAGATTTATTTTTATTATTATTTTATTTTATTGGAAAGGCGGATATACAGAGAGGAGAGACAGAGGAAGATCTTCCATCCGATGATTCATTCCCCAAGTGAGCACAACGGCCGATGCTATGCCGATCCGAAGCCAGGAGACTCTTCCGGGGTCTCCCACGCGGGTGCAGGGTCCCAAAGCTTTGGGCCGTCCTCGACTGCTTTCCCAGGCCACAGGCAGGGAGCTGGATGGGGAGTGGGGCTGCCAGGATATGAGCTGGTGCCCATATGGGATCTGGCAGTTTCAGGATGAGGACTTAACCATTGAGCCGTCATGCCGGGCCCACTTGGGTCCTCTTCCTCGACCCTCCCAGGTCATGAGTAGGGAGCTGATTAGAAGCAGAGCAGCATCTTAGTGTGTAGACATTCTTTTTTTTTTTTTTTTTTTTTTAAGATTTATTTTTATTACAAAGCCAGATATACAGAGAGGAGGAGAGACAGAGAGGAAGATCTTCTGTCTGATGATTCACTCCCCAAGTGAGCGCAGCGGCTGGTGCTGAGCCAATCTGAAGCTGGGAGCCAGGAGCTTCTTCCTGGTCTCCCACATGAGTTTAGGGTCCCAAGGCTTTGGGCCGTCTTCGACTGCTTTCCCAGGCCACAAACTGGGATCTGGATGGCAAGTGGAGCTGCCAGGATTAGAACCAGCGCCCATATGGGATCCTGGCACGTTCAAGGCGAGGACTATAGCCGCTAGGCCACGCCGCGGGGCCTGTGTGTAGACATTCTAAGAGCAACCAGTACGCTGATGTGGGATGCCAGTATCCCAAGGCATAGTTTGATGTGCTGTGCTGTGGCCCCAGGAATGGCCAGCTGGGCCTGTGTGTGCTGGCTGCCTTTGTGACTTGGGGTGCTGACCTTGCTGTCCTCTTCCGTTTTTGCTGCCTCATTGTAAGGATCCTTGTGACTCCTGTGCACAGTGGCTCTGTGTGCAGTGAACAGAGGTGCATTTGGTTGGCTAAGACCCGGGTTTCCCAGGTAGAGGTCATTGGAAGGTCATCTGGAATGGGCCGGGGGGGCTGGGCCATGGTGGTCTGGAGTGACTCCAGGGCCTGTGGCTGTGGCCGTGGTTGGAGTCTGACCCTATGGCCCGTGGCTGTGGCCAGTCTGGAGTCTGACCCCAGGACCTGTGGCCGTGGCTGGTCTGGAGTCTAACCCCAGGTGCCGTGGCCGTGGCTGGTCTGCAGTCTGACCCCAGGGCCCGTGGCCGTGGCTGGTCTGCAGTCTGACCCCAGGACCTGTGGCCGTGGCTGGTCTGGAGTCTAACCCCAGGGCCTGTGGCCGTGGCTGGTCTGCAGTCTAACCCCCGGGCCCGTGGCCGTGGCTGGCCTGGAGTCTAACCCCAGGTGCCGTGGCCGTGGCTGGTCTGCAGTCTGACCCCAGGGCCCGTGGCTGTGGCCGGTCATTGTTTTCTTCTCACTTTATTATTATTTTTAAGTTGCTTTAACATTTGTGCATGTTTGTGCAGTTGTTTGGGGCACAGAGCCGTATCTTGCCCATCTGTGCAGGTGGCCAGCCTGTTGTCTCCCAGGGGGGTTGTCACTGTGGACAGAGCCACCCCTCAGCTGGGGACCCTGCATGGTCCCTGAGCCAGGCTTGGGAAGTGCCCGTGGCCACCCTGCTGCCGCCCACACCGCCATCTTTGTGTTGTAGACAAACTGGATGCGGACTACATCAAGAGGTACCTGGGCGACCTGACCCCGCTGCAGGAGAGCTGCCTCATCAGACTGCGCCAGTGGCTGCAGGAGACCCACAAGGGCAAAGTGAGTGGCAGTCCGGCCCAGGGCTCTCTGGTCCTGGGCACGCACCCAGGTCCACACTGTGGGCCGCAGCCCAGGCGTCCTTCCCTCTCAACAGTGAGGACAGGCTAGCGGGTCTGCGGCCTGGGTGGCGAGTCCCGTGCCCTCCCACAAACAATCAGCTGCTCGCACCCAGGTGCTGGTGGCTGCCATTGTGTCCAGGCCGCACACAGGCTGCCATGTTTGCCCCCTGAGGCAGGTCTGCTGTTAACGCCTGTGTTTGATGTGGGAGGAGGCTGAGGTCCAGGCCCGAGGCTGGCCATTGCCAGCATCAGGATTTGAACCCAGGCCCTTAGGTTCCAGAACCCACCTTCTTAACCACCTCCATATAGCTGGACCTGTCCAGTGAAGATGAGCCTGTGGGCTTTGCCTTGGGCATCCAGAGATAGGGCTGGCCATGTGTCAGCTCGCATCTTAGTCCCCCAGGCCCAGCTGCCCACCCACATGAGCCACGTGTGGCGCTGGGTGGGGGCGCCTGGTGCCGTGAAGACGCGGGAGCCACCCCCGCCTTGCTGTCTGCCCAGCAGCCTGTTTTCTGACCTGGAGAAGGTTCCTGAATGTCAACAAGGCTGCCAGAAACACAGGATCTTATGTTCTGGGTTTTACTTTTTTAATCAAGATTTATTTATCTGTTTATTTGAAAGGCAGAGTGACAGGTGGGAAAGACAGAGAGATCTCCCGCCCATGGGTTCCTTCCCCAGATGCCTTTCATCTCGAAGCTGAGCCAGGCCGTGGCCAGGAGCCAGGAGTTCCACGAGCCTCGCACTTGGGTGGCAGAGGCCCAGGTGCTTGGAACCTCCTCCACCTTCCGCTCAGGAGCACAGGCAGGAAGCTGGATTAGAAGCAGAAGGCATTTGGTAACTGGTGTGGGTGTTGGTGGCTCATCCACTGTGCCACCCGCCCCTTAAGTGTCACCTTTTATGGTCTTGTCCGCGTGCACGGCGGTGCCCAGAGCAACAGCATTGGAGCTTCAGGAGATCATGACCTTCTCTTTTTAAAAAGATTTGCTTATCAATTTTTAAAAGATTTATTTATTTTCACTGGAAAGGCAAGTACACAGAGAGGAAGAGAGAGAGGGGAAGATCTTCCATCCGCTCATTCATTCCCTAAGCGGCCACCATGGCTGGAGCTAAGCTGATCCAAAGCCAGGAGCCCGGAGCCTTTTCCGGGTCTCCCATGCAGGTGCAAGGTCCCAAGGTCACAAGCGGACAGCTGGATGGGAAGTGGGGCCATTGGGATTAGAACCGGCCCAAATGGGATCCCGGCGCATCCAGGGGAGGACTTTAGTTGCCAGGCTACTACACAGACCCTGTTTATCCTTTTTTATTGGAAAAGCAGATTTACAGAGAGGAGGAAAGATAGAGTGGTCTTCATTCTCAAGTTGGGCCAGTCCACAGCCAGGAGCCAGGAGCTGCTTCTGGGTCTCCCTTGTGTATGCAGGGTCCCAAGGCTTTGGGCCATCCTCTGCTGCTTTCCCAGGCCACAAGCAGGGAGCTGGATGGGAAGTGGAGCAGCTGGGACTCCTGTGTGGAGTACTGCACCTGTGTGGAGTACTGGCACTGCAGGTGGTGGCTTTACCCACCATGCCACAGTGCATGCAGTAACAAGGCTCCTTGGTGGCAGGAATGGGAATTTTAGGAGTCCGATTTCCTGGGCAACCTTGCAGGTTGCCTGGAAACCTCTTGTTTCCTTGTTAGATTCCCAAAGATGAGCACATTCTACGGTTCCTTCGCGCGCGGGACTTTAACATTGACAAAGCCAGGGAGATTCTTTGCCAGTCTCTGACGTGGCGGAAGCAGCACCAAGTGGACTACATCTTGGACACCTGGAACCCCCCGCAGGTCTTGCAGGACTACTACGCGGGAGGCTGGCACCACCACGACAAAGGTAGCGTGTGCCCCGGAACTGCCCACGCCTTGCTCTGTGCCACCAAAGGTGCCCAGAGACCTCTGCACTGTGTGGAGTTGGCAGGGCCCTAGGGCGTGCGCCCTCCTGCCTCATGTGGGGGCAGATCCCATCCCCACCATGACGGCAGCAGCCTGTGCTGTCCTGGGCACGCCTCTGTCCCAGAGCGGGGAGGGCAGGGGCTGTGGTGGCGGGGGCAGTTATTTCCCATGGCGCAGTGCTAGGAAGCACTCAGTGCTGGGCAACAGAGGACCGCCACAGGGACGCAGCCTGTTTGTGCTCAGCTCTGCAAGCTTTGGTCCTGTCTGGGGACTCAGCAGAGCCAGGCCCCGGTGGCTGTGCCCGGCCACCGCAGGGGGGGAGATTGCAGAGACATTGGCAGGAAGCCGTTGTGTCGGCTGATTCCCTGTTCAGACCTGCGGTGTACAGCATGGAGGCCGAGCGGGATGGGTGTCCAGGAACCGGGGAACGGCTCCCCGCTCCGCTTGCTTTGCTTTCCTGACTTGGGCCTCTCCACATCACCCACTGCTCTGTTCGTGCTGGAAACCTGTGACCGGCATTCGCTCCCTGGGATCCAGTCCTTGGTAGCAAAACCCAGCAGTGTTCCAAGACTGGCCAAAATCCTTGCTCTCTGTCACCACCTCGTGGTGGACGACGCCCAGTGCAGTGCTGTCCAGCCCCCTGCCTGCTGGCACAGAGTTGCAGGAACTGGCCAGCACTGACCCTCAGAGCACTCTGGCCATGTGGCTAGCTAGCCCAGGGTAATGGCAGGTGGCTGTGAATGAGCTGGGTCCACTCAGGCTCCCCCTGGGAAAGCTGCTAGGGAGCAGAACCAGAGTGGGCCAGCCGGGGGATTCTCCCCCTCCAGCCCTCCCACTTTCTTGCTCCTGCTTGCTTTTCGTATCCAAGCTCAGTTTGTCTGCGTGGGTGCTGTGCTGTCGCTCACTGCTGGCAAGCATCTCCTGAGTGGAGCACGGAGGCGCCTGCCTGGCAGTGGCTCTGAGCGTGTTCCTCTCTGGGCCCCGCCCCCAGGTAGCTAGGCTTCCTTGTGTGGACGTGGCCGGTGCCCTTCCAGCTCCCCGGGCTCCTGCTGACGCTGTCTCTCTCCCCTCCTGCAGACGGGCGGCCGCTCTACGTGCTGCGGCTGGGCCAGATGGACACCAAGGGCTTGGTGAGAGCCCTGGGCGAGGAGGCCCTGCTGAGATACGTGAGTGTGTGCCAACAGCTCCGTGTGGCTCGCTGCTGGAGGGACTGGCGCGTTAGCATGGCCCCACACGTCACGAGTGGGTGCCTTTGTCGTTAGAAAAGAAGCTCTGCTCAGATATTCTTAAGATTTCAGAAGAGGGCACATGAGTTAGAACAGTGATTTTCATGCTGTTGGCCTCAATACAACACTGATTGCATTGGGGTACACCCCCACACTTGGGCCAGCACCCTCCCGCCCCTCCTTCTTCCCACACTGCCCACCTGGGCTCCTCCCAGCCCTCTGCCAGGGCCCTTTCCCCTACAGCCACCCCTGTGCTGGCAGCTGCATTGCGCCCCTCAAAACATAGCCCTTCAGTGTAGTTTGTAGTGGATGCAGACCTTAAAAGGTATAGCTACACCCCTCCCCCGCCACTGGACTGGCGGCTCCTAGTGTGCTGTTAGGGTCTGTGTGGGCTGCCCCCAGGGTGCACGGAGGGGGGGGCCTCTAGGGTCTGTGTGGGCTGCCCCCAGGGTGCACGGAGGCCTGGGGGGCCTCTAGGGTCTGTGTGGGCTGCCCCCAGGGTGCACGGGGTGGGGCCTCTAGGGTCTGTGTGGGCTGCCCCCAGGGTGCAAGGGGGGGGGCCTCTAGGGTCTGTGTGGGCTGCTCTCCCTGGAGGCAGTCTGGCTTCCCCTCCCTCCTGGGGGCTGCTGCGTGGAGTGCAGTGTCCCCATGCTGGGCACTTCTCTCTGCTGTGTCCCCCCACACACTTGTCCTGGGGATAGGGCCCTGCTCTGTGTCCTCACTGCTCGGCTGCAGCTCCCCTGAGCCTGGCCTCATGTGGGTGGCCACTGCCTTCCCTTGGGGGAAGCGTGTGGCTGTGGGGCGCCCTGGTGCTGAGTGGGCTGGCCTTCCTGTGCCCAGGTGCTGTCCATCAATGAAGAAGGCCTGCGTCGCTGTGAGGACAACACCAAGGTCTTCGGCCGGCCCATCAGGTGGGTACGGGACAGCCGGGCCCTCTGGGAGGGCGGGCCACTCTGGAGAGTCTCTGGTTTCGCTTTTTCTCTTTTTTGCATTTGTTTATTTGAAAGGCAAAGTAATATACAGAAGCACCTACTGGTTCATTTCCCAAGTGGCTGCAGGGGCCTGCGCTAGGGGCCCCGTGCTGGTCTTACTTGTGGCTGCAGGGGCCCGAGCTCTTGAGCCGTCTCCCACTGCCTTCCCAGGAGCTGGCTTGCTGGTGGAGCAGCTGGGCTTGAACTGGTGCTGACGGGGGCTGGGTGCGCCGGCAGAAGCACCGTTCCCAAGCCCAGAGCCAGCCCTGCATGTCAGGGTGCTGGCGCTCAGTGGCCCAGCCTCCCGAGGGCCCAGGGTCACGGCTTGCTTCTCACACACACATGAACCGTTACTCAGTATTCCTGACGCATACTGTGGCTGTGCCCAGCTGTCCTGAAGATGTGACGTAGATGGGACGGTGCTGGGAGGCCGTCAGACCCCTGCTGGGCCATGGGCTTCCGGGGCTTTCTGTTGGCCGCTGTGCTCACAGCTCCTGGACACTGCTGACTCAGTGTTTGCTTGTCTGCTGCCAGCAAGCAGGTCAGGCTAGGGCTGGTGTCAGGGAGCTGTCCAGAGGGCCTGTCCCCCAGAGCCTGGTGGGCTTTGCACAAGCAGCCAGAACTCAGCCCTGTGTGTGCTGGGCGACGGCCAGCTGTTTTATATCGAAGTGAGAGAAATGCAGGACAGGAGGCCGAGTGCCTGCTGGCTGCTGGACGTGACCCCTGTGCCCCGCTGCAGCTCCTGGACCTGCCTGGTGGACCTGGAGGGGCTGAACATGCGCCACCTGTGGCGGCCGGGGGTCAAGGCCCTGCTGCGCATCATCGAGGTGGTGGAGGCCAACTACCCGGAGACGCTCGGCCGCCTGCTCATCCTTCGCGCGCCCCGCGTCTTCCCCGTCCTCTGGACCCTGGTGAGTCCTCAGGTGGAGTGCAGGAGCTGGGGCCACTCGGAAGGCACCTGCGCTCGTGCACTTGGCCCTGACCCTAGGTCTGCATGCAGAGGCAGTGTTCTTCAGAGAGAAGCAACGTGAGGGTCTCGGCGTTCCCAACGCTGAGCGTCTGTCGATCCATGGCCCAGTCACCTGCTCAAGCGACCCCCGTTTTTTCTCATTTTATTTGAAAGGTGCAGAGAGATTGGGTAAACCCTCTACTGACTTACCCCTCAAATGCCCACAGCAGTTAGGTCTAGGCCAGGCTAATGCCAGAGCCCAGAATCCATGCCAGGTGACTTGTCTGGTGGGCTGGGAACAAGCATTTGGGCCCTCCCCCTGTTGCCCCACCGCAGGGTGCAGGAAGCTGGGTGGGAGATTGTGCAGTCAGGCTCAAACGAGGCTCCTGGGTGTAGGTGGTGTCCGACACCCACCCCACCCTGTGCCGGCAGTCAGCACAGAGGGTACATTGGAGGATACCCACCCGCCCCTGGGTCGGGGGTCGCTGGCGGTCAGCACAGGGGGTACCATGGGGGACACCCACCCGCCCCTGGGTCGGGAGTCGCTGGCGGTCAGCACAGGGGGTACCATGGGCGACACCCACCCACCCCTGGGTCGGGAGTCGCTGGTGGTCAGCACAGGGGGTACCATGGGGGACACCCACCCACCCCTGGGTCGGGGGTCGCTGGCGGTCAGCACAGGGGGTACCATGGGGGACACCCACCCGCTCCTAGGTCGGGAGTCGCTGGTGGTCAGCACAGGGGTACGATGGTGGTGTTTCCTGCTTCCTTGCAGGTCAGCCCGTTCATTGATGACAACACCAGGAGGAAGTTCCTCATTTACGCAGGCAATGACTACCAGGGGCCCGGAGGCCTGCTGGACTACATCGACAAGGAGATCATCCCAGACTTCCTGAGCGGGGAGTGCATGGTACGGGGCGGCCGAAGCCGCTGGCTGCTGCCTGGCATGGGTTGGGGGTGGTGATCGGAATGTTTTGTTGGCTGCCACCCCTCCAGCACCAGCTGGTACCAAGTGGAACTGCTGAGGGAGCCCGCGGTGCCGTTGCTTCATTGTGCAGGCTATTCCCTAATGCAGCTTGTTCCGGAATCTGATGGAACTGTCGCTGTTACCCGCACAGCTCTGTGGGATTTGCAGAAAGAAGTGGCAGGCCTGGGCCCAGGGTAGTGTCCCGTGCCGGGAGAGACTCTGAGCAGCTGGCAGACCTGCGCTGGACTCCCTCTGGTGGCAACTAGAATCAGGGGGACGGGGGGAGATGGTGCTCATGGAAGCCACACTCACGTGCGGCTGCGTTAGACCCAGTGCCTGCCTCATGTGCCATGCCCCCCGGGAGTGGTGCCTCCCTCTTGTGTCTCTGCCCTCCGGGCGTGGTGTCTGCCTCCTGTGCCATGCCCTCCAGCAATTGCTGGGGTTTATGCCCTGGGAGAGGTTGTCAGCCCAGCCACTTAGAATGGGGGCGATTTGATCTGTTTCAGGCTGAGTCCACAGGAAGTTCTCTGTGTTGGACGGCTGGGGATGGAGAGCCCTCGTTGGCCTTGGCTTCCAGTGAGGCCACGCACGCTGATGCTTTTTATCCTAACGAAGGGGAGGGGCAGGACAAGCACTATCATCCTCCTGCTCACTTCCCGAGTAGCTGTGCCAGCTGGCTCTGAGCGAGACCAAGGCCAGGAGCCAGGAACTGCATCCCACCTGGACCGTGTTCTAGCACCTTCCCAGGGGCGTTGGCAGGGAGCTAGATCGGAAGGGGAGCAGTTGGTAATGGATGCTGGCATCACAGGTGGCGGGGTAACTGGCTCTGCCATGCCAGCTCCCAGTTCTCTCTTGACTAATTTCCTGTCGCAACACAAAATGCCAAAGCTGTTAATAACAGGGTTTTTCTTAGCATGGTTCCCTTTACGATGCAGTGGGAATGCTTCTGCAGGCTCTTACGTAAACCAGCCTTGCTGAGTCCAGTGTCGAGCGTGGGAGTGAGTCCTTGGGTAGACCAGCTTCAGCTTGTCCCTGATAGACACGTGTGTGCAGTGTGGGGTGCAGATGACTGTGCCTGGTGTCCGCTCCCGGTGGCTCGGGGGCCTGGCATTAGCACCTGGTGCCATCTGCACTCCGTTCGGGATCCGCAGGGCTGCTCTGCGGGCCCAGCTTTTACCGCCTTGTCTGTGTTTCAGTGTGAGGTGCCGGAGGGCGGCCTGGTCCCCAAGTCTCTGTACCGGACGGCGGAGGAGCTGGAGAACGAGGACCTGAAGCTGTGGACAGAGACCATCTACCAGTCTGCCAGCGTCTTCAAGGGAGCCCCGCACGAGGTACCTGACCCCCGACTGCCCCCCATCCCCACGCTGGGTCTGCTGTGGCTGAGGGAGCCCCACACGAGGTACCTGACCCCTGACAGTCCCCCATCCCCACGCCGGGTCTGCAGTGGCTGAGGGAGCCCCCGACTGCTCCCCATCCCCACGCCGGGTCTGCTGTGGCTGAGGGAGGCCGCACGAGGTACCTGACCCCCGACTGCCCCCCGTCCCCTCCCGTCCCTGCTGCTCAGGCATTGGAGCATTGCCGCCAGCTGCTGCTTGTTTAGGTGCCTGCGGGCACACAGGGAGAGCTGCGCTCCCTCGGAGACAGGGCACAGGACTGGGGGAGGCCGGCAGGGGCCTCTTACTGCACGCCCTTGATTCGGGGGACAGCAGATCTGGCCCTGGGGGAGGGTCTTTCTAATTCCAAATTCAGTTTCTTTTCTCTGTATCTCTCTCTTTTTAAGGATTGATGTATTTGTGAGGCAGTTAGAAAGAAAGGTCTTCCATTTACTTGTCCACTTCCCAAATGGGCATAACTGCCAGGCTGAAGCCAGGAGCCAGGACTGTCTTCTGGGTCTCCTGTGTGGGGGCTGGGGCCCAAGCATGTGGAGCACCCTGTGCTGCTGTCCCAGGACACAAGCAGGAACTGGATGGGAAGTGGAGCAGCCGGGATGCGAACTGGTGCCATATGGGATCCCAGTGAGGACTGAACCGCTGAGCCACTACGCCAGGCCAGTACTTTCCTAGGCTTGTGTGGTCTCTTCCTGTGCCTGACTGGCACAGTGCAGTGGTCACACGTGTGCCAAGGAGGATGACATGCCGTGTGTAGCCTTTCAGACCGTACTGTCAGGGATCTGTGGAGGTCTTGGGACACAGCCCCCAGTGGCTGAAAGGGCTGCGCTGTGGGCCCCTGGCAGGGCTGAGGCCGAAGGTGCTGTCTGCGCTGGGCAGAGGAGGTCTCAGGTGCCTGTGCCAGGGCCACCCGCTGCTCCCAGGTGGGGATGTGGGTTGCTTTGTTTGGATTGGGTGGCCGGTTTTTTACTTTTTGATTTTTGGGGGGTTTTTTTGTTTGTTTTGTTTTGTTCTTTGTGTTTGTTTATGTATTTTAAAGATTTATCTCTTTAAAAGATAGAGTGAAAGAAAAGCAGCAACAGAGAAGGATAGGTTTTATCTACTGGTTAACCCACCAAATGGTTGCAGTGACCAGGCCAAAGCCAGGAGCTTCATCTGTGTCTCCCTGGTAGGTGCAGGGGCCAGTGACGGCGGCCATCTTCTGCTGCACTCACAGGGAGGTGGGTTGGAACTAGAACCAGAACCCATATGGAATGCTGGCATTCCAGCGGCAGCTTAACCCACTGTGCCACAGCGCCAGCCCCTTGGGTGGGACTTGTGTGCTTCCTGATACGGTTTAAGGACATTCCAACATGGCACAGTGACGGGGCCGCAAGGGACTTAGGAGAAGAGGGTGGCCTGGAGGGGCATGCTGGGTTGTGTATTTATTCATTCACATGAAAAGAAACGGGGTGGGCCTGGCGCAGTAGCCTAGTAGCTGAAGGCCTCACTTTGCACACGCCAGGTTCTCATGTGGACCCTGGTTAGTATCTCAGCTGCTCCACTTCCCAGCCAGCTCCCTGCCTGTGGCCTGGGAAAGCAGTTGAGGACGGCCCAAAGCCTTGGGATCCTGCACCCGTGTGGCAGACCCAAAGAGGCTCCTGGCTCCTGGCTTCGGATTGCTTAGATCCGGCTGGCTGTTGTGGCTACTTGGGGAGCAAACCACTGGATGGAAGATCTTTCTGTCTCTCTTTTCTGTAAATCTGACTTTCCAATAAAAATAAATAAATCTTTAAAAAGAGAAGAACAAAAGAAGCTGTCTTAACCCCCTCTGCCCCAGCACAGGCCCCAGTTGGTTTGGCTGGTTTTGTATTTGGAAGACAGCGTGTCAGAGGGGCTGGCTGTCCCTCCTGGCCTGCTCCCCAGGCACCCTGGCAGTAAGCTGGATTGGTAATGGAGCAATGGGGACTTGCTCCGATATGGGGTGCTGGTGGCAAAGCAGTGGCTTAACGCACTGTCCCGCACCCACCACTGCGTGGAGGCTGTGCGAGCAGCCCTGCAGAGCGATGGCACAGCTCAGCCTCTGGCCTCCAGGCTGGAGAATGCGCTGGCCACGGAGCGCTGTGGTCCTGCTTTACCTCTCCCCACCACTCCCACACCTTGAATTCAAGGTCAGGTGTGAGACCTGCGCCCCTGCCCTGTCAGCCAGCTCACTCTGCCATCCCACCTGCTAGGACTGCTGTTGAGCCAACGTGGACCTCCTGCTCCATGGTCCGGCCCTCCCCTTTCCACCCCTCGGCCCCATGGGCTTGGCTTCCAGGGCCCTGCAGTGCCCCCAGCATCCGCTGAGCCCCTGGGACAGCCTCGCAGGCCCTCCGATGTGTGTGACGAGGTCTGAAGATGGTGTGTAGGGAATATGGTATGTGGGTCCCTGTGCAGGCCACCAGGAGTACAGGTAGTGGTGTGTGGCACACAGCTTTGCAGGGACCACTCATTGAAGGGAGGAAGGGGGGTACGAGGCCAGGATGGCCGAGAGCTCGGGGGTGCATGTGTTCCCTGCCGGTCAGGTTACAAGGGCCTGAAGCAGCCACTCTGTAAGAGGCCGGCTTTGTCTCCTGTGGGATCTGTGGTCGCCTATGGGTGACGAGAGAGTGGAAGCACCTGTCTGCTCGGGGACCTGCTGTCCTTACAGTGCCAGGCACTGCCCACCTGCTGCCCAGCTACCCTGCCACCTCACTCGGCCCAGCGTATTTTCTGCCCTGTTGGTAGTGACTCAACTAGTGCGTGATTCAGGACACACCGCAGCTCCTCCTGCCCTGCCTGGTGGCAGAGAGCCGAGGGCAGCAGGCCGACCCCCATGGGGCCCGTCTTGTGCACCTGTCGGCTGACACAGCTGCTCCTTCCAGATCCTCATTCAGATTGTGGACGCCGCCTCTGTGATCACGTGGGACTTTGACGTGTGCAAAGGGGACATTGTCTTCAACATCTACCACTCCAAGAGAGCGCCACAGCCGCCCAAAAAGGACTCCCTGGGCGCCCACAGCATCACCTGTCCCGGCGGGAACAACGTGCAGCTCATAGACAGGCTGTGGCAGCTGGGCCGGGACTACAGCATGGTGGAGTCGCCCCTGGTGTGCAAGGAGGGCGAGAGTGTTCAGGTACAGTGGCAGCTGACAGCCCATGCCCGTGCCCGGCCGCAGGACACCATGTGAGCGCCACGGGAAGGGCCTGGCCCAGCCTCCTGTGTAACGGGCGTGGCAGGAGGGCAGGGGCCCTGCAGGCACCCACCGCGGGGCTATTGGAGACTGCTGTGTGTCTTCCCAAGAACGCCCTGAATAGCCACGGGAGGCAGGGGAACAGGCAACAGGCCCTAGGGGACCCTGAGCACTCATGGCTGGCTTTCTGTCAGCGCCCACTCCTGCCCTGGCCCGTGCCCCCTGCGCCTCCCCCTGTGCTGTGGCCTCCACAGGCGGTGGCACTCTGCTGCCTTGACAGTCTCCAAGCGGCAGCCCCGGAGGCTTGCGGTCCTAGATGAAGCCGAGGGAGTGTTTTTATCCTGTTTTTACAGCCAAGAGCATTTCAGAGCTGTCGCAGTCTGACTGCACGATGGCTGAGTGGGAGCTTTAGAGCCACATCTGGACAGCCGAGTATACGGGGGATGGGTGGCCCAGCCTGGGGGCTTCTGCCAATCCTGCCAGGTACCTGTGTACCCAGGCGAGCGGCTCAGGAGACGGCCCCTCCAGCGCCGACTGGCGAGACCTCATCCCCAGGTGGCCAGTCCACGGGAGGAGGACGGGCTGGGCCTGTTGGGAGGACAAACACCCATAGCAGTGACTGTGAGCACAGCCAGAGCGCTGGCAGGGCCTGTTCTGGGGGCCTGGCAAGGAGGCGTCCCCACCAACGACATGTCCCTGTCGCAGGGCTCCCACGTGACCCGGTGGCCAGGCTTCTACATCCTGCAGTGGAAGTTCCACAGCATGCCGGCCTGCGCCGCCACCAACCTGCCCCGGGTGGACGACGTGCTGGCGTCCTTGCAGGTGTCCTCCCACAAGTGCAAGGTCATGTACTACACAGAAGTGATTGGCTCAGAGGACTTCAGGTAAGGCTGCCCACGGTGCAGCAGGGGGCGCTGTGGGACCAGGTGTGGGCTGGGCAAGAGGGAGGCTCAGGAACTCTCATGGTGGGAGAGGGTGGGCCAGGGCCACGCCGGTGACTGTCCCCACTTGGCAGCACTGAGGGGCAGTGTGTGGGGCACAGGAAGTCAAGCTGGGCAGGTGCACGGTCCCCAGGCTGGGCCTCACACTCGGCCCCGGCTGGCTCTTTGCAGAGGCTCGATGACCAGCCTGGAGTCCAGCCACAGCGGCTTCTCACAGCTGAGCGCCACCACCACGTCCTCCAGCCAGTCGCACTCGAGCTCCGTGGTTTCCAGGTAGTGGTGCGACGCCGTCGAGTGGTCACCGGGGACAACCGGCCGGCGGCTACGTCATGCCCTCCTCTCGCCCTCTAGATAGCAAGTAGCTGTTCAGGCTGTCAGTGTAGCCATTGACCCTGAGGCTGAGGCGGGCGGTCGCGCCTCCGACCCTCACCCCTCGTAGCCATAGATTGCCATACACACAGTATGCAGCCGGGGCCCAGGGCTTCTCTGTCGAGGAAAGCTGCGGGGAGCCCGTGGAGGGACTGCCGTGCCTAGGCCCAGGTGTTGATGCAGACGTGTCCCAGCCAGCTCCGCCGTCTCCCTCCCCGACCGTGCCAGCCTCCAGCCCGAGTCCTCAGCAGGGTCCCTGCGCGAGCCCAGCGCCCAAGGGGGGCGCTGGCGGTGGCAGGATTCTTGTCTCCCCACACACACAGCAGGAAATCAGCGCCATCATTAAATGTCACTTCCTCTGTCCTCTTTTTTCAGTTCTTTGGTGTTTTTCTGGAGCAGGGCTTTCTGAGCCTGACCCTGAACGAAGGGGACTCTCCCTGCGCCCAGGCCACCCAGCCACGCTGGCTGCAGCGGGCATGCTTGCTGTGGGAGAGCTTCCCTGGCAGACCGCGGCTGGGAGGGCCGTGTGTGTGTGTGTGTGTGCGCGCGGCTGTGACATGCTCAGGCAGGCAGTATGCATGACATGGGGCAAGGAGGGGACACTCCGCTGAGCAAGTCAGCGTTTCTCCTGAGTGGCTGCAGAGCCTGCTGGCTGTCAGGCCCGCTCTGCTCAGCTTTCTGTACGGAAAAAGACTGTTGTCTCTGGGTGTGTCCAGAGGGCTAGGTGTGGTGGTCTGTGCTGAGGACAGGGTGGTATGTGGGGGTGTGAGGGAGGAGGGCGAGTGTGTATGGGTTTGTGGGTGTGTGTGGGAGTGTGGGTGCGTGTGGGGGTGTGGATGCGTGTGGGGTGTGGATGCGTGTGGGGGTGTGGGTGGGTGGGTGGGGGTGTGGGTGGGTGTGGGGGTGTGGGTGGGTGTGGGGGTGTGGGTGCGTGTGGGGGTGTGGGTGCGTGGGAGTGTGGGTGGGTGCGTGGGGGTGTGGGTGGGTGCGTGGGGGTGTGGGTGCGTGCGTGAGGGTGTGGGTGCGTGCGTGTGGGGGTGTGGGTGCGTGTGGGGGTGTGGGTGCGTGTGGGGGTGTGGGTGAGTGCGTGTGGGGGTGTGGGTGAGTGCGTGTGGGGGTGTGAGGGTGGAGGTGCATGTTGGGGACGTGGCAGGGGTTGTACCGTGAAGGTGGTGCCAGACCCCTGGCCGCTGTGACAGGCCTCCTCCTCTGGGGGGCGCCGGAGAGTGTGCGCAGTCCGTGTGTCCTGTGGGGGCTGGGTGGGCCCGGACACTTGTGCCTCTGGCACCTGCGTGGTGGAGCGCGTGGGCCCGCTGGGCTGGCAGCCGGGTGTTGCCTTTCAGAGGCCGGCCATGTGCGAGGGGTGTCGGCAGTGCATCTGCTGTGTGGCTTCCAGTCAGTGCTTCTGTCTCCCACGATAAGGACCTGAAGTCGGTCCCCTCTCTCTCTTTCTCTCTCTCTCTTTCTCTCTGTGTCTCAGATGGCGATTTTGCTGACAGCTGCCAAGGAAACGCTCCACCGACAGTCCTCATGTGCCCGAGATGTTTCTAGAACTGTTTTGAGTTACAGCCATGCCCCTACCCCCAGGCTGAAGATCTGCCCTTGTCAGTGGGTGCCGAGTGGCATGGGTCCCCACCCAGAGAGAGTGAGGCACCCTTTGGAGAGCAGGCTCATCCGTGCCCCGCTTCCGGGCCGTCCTTCACCCTGGCGGTCACTCCCCTTTCCAGTTCTCCAGAGTTTTTGGGCTATCCCCTCCCAAGGTAATGATTTGCATATCGGATTCTGTAAATGTTTTGTAAACCTCTTACCTCACTCTTGGTAATACAATACTGATAGTCTTTAAAAGATTTTTTATTGTTACTGATAATAAATGTGAAGCTATTTAAAGAAAAGACCCCCGTCTTCTCATTGTGAAAGGCTCCTGTGAACAGGGAGGAGCCTGCAACAGCCAGAGCTGAGCTAGACCTGCCACGAGGGATGCCGGCAGCCCCCAAGGCAGCTCAGCCAGTGCTCTGTGGTGCCCGTCCCGCAAGTCTGGCTGGCATGATACGCAGCCCGCACTTCCCTCAGGTGCTTCAGGAAGGAAAAAACAGGTGCAACCCTGTCCGGTTTGCCGGGGCTTGGGGTTCGGGCCTGCTTGTTGCCCGTGGCGTGAGCCTGCCCAGCTTGCCATGGCCTAGGGCCCAGGACACCCACAGGAGAACTGCCTGGGTGGAGCACAGCACTGACTAGCCAGAGGCTCTGAGCAGCCAGGCCCCTGCCACTGCCTCCCCTGCAGGGGCTGCAAGGCTGTTTGCTTGCTGGTCGGGTCCCTTCCTAGTGGGACTCAGATTGACACATTTGTCTGTGGCAGTCAGGATGGGTCATTTCCTCAGCCAAAGTAGCTGCATTGCATTGCGTTTTTCCTTTTTCATTTTGTTGGCAAGGGAGACAGAACATTCTACTCACTCCTCATGTCCGCAGCTGCCAGGATCAGGCTGGCCAAAGCCAGGAGCCCAGACCTTCCTGTCCAGCTCTCCCCTGTGGGCAGCGGGGCATCACGGACCTGGGCCATCCCCTGCCCCCTCCCAGGGTGGCACTGAAGAGGCAGGAATGAGGAGTGGGCTGCAGAGACCTTACCGCATGGCAGTGTCACCCAGCCACCTTCTGAGGACCCAGCCTGCCGCTGGGGTGGAGGGCAGGCCTGCAGGGTCTCCCTCTCCTGCTGGGTGTGTCAGGAACATCCTCCCCAGATAGAAGGTTCCCCACGCCATCTGCCTGCCATCCCGCCCCAGCCCCAGGCATCCGTGGTCTTGGCAGAGCGCTGGCCCAACCTTGCAGCAGAATGCCTTACGGCTCGGGTTTACGACAGATGCCCTCAGTAATGGTGTCTTTGAACACCAGGATAGAAGTTAGGGCTTTGGGAAGCAAGGGATTCTGGGAAGGTGGTCATGGCATCCCACCTACAAACAACTACATCCCAAATCACAAAACCTGCAGACCAATCAGGTCTGCACTTTGGGGAGGGGTAAGCTTTATGTGAAAGAAAGCTGGAGCTGGTGTTTTGGTAGAGTGGCTCAGTGACCCACCGCCATGCTGACATCCTGTGCAGGTGCCGGTTTGAGTTCAGACTACTGCACTTAGCAGCACCTTCCTGCTGTCGGCCTGGGCAGACGGCGGAGAATGACGGCCCATGGCTCTGGCCCAGCTTGTTAGAGAGGCCAGGGGCAGGCATGTCGTGTTGCGACAGGTGGGGAGAGCTGTGCCCAGGCCCACCTCCCACTGCCCCGTTGCCGCAGCCCTGCCTGGGCCCTCTCGAGATCGACATAGCCAAATATCTGCCAGCATGCCCGCAGCCCAGCTGGGGCCCGTTTGGCTTCTGGCTCCAGACCCCGACTTCCTGCAAGTGTAGACCCCAGAAGGCAGCAGCCATTGCTGCAGTGGTTGGGCCGCCGTCATGGGGGACCCAGATGGTGCTCCCGGCTCTGGCCATGGTGGCGTCTGAGGAGTAGGCCAGCTGCTGGGAGCACTCCTTGTCCCCTTGTCTCCTGTGCCTTTCACATAAACAGGAAAATACAAATACATGCCAGCTCGTGTTCTGTGTGGGTTCAGCCATTGCCTTTTGTTGTTGCTGCTGTTTTGTTTTTTAAGATTTTTTCATTGGCAAGGCAGATTTACAGAGAGGAGAGACAGAGAAAGATCTTCCATCTGCTGGTTCACTCTCCAAATAGCCATAATGGCTGGAGCTGAGCTGATGTGAAGCCAGGAGCTGGAAGCTTGCAAGTCTCCCATGCGAGTGCAGGGTCTCAAGGGCCTGGGCCGTCCTCCACTGCGTTCCCAGGCCACAGGCAGGGAGCTGGTTGGGAAGTGGAGCAGCCAGGCCACAGGCAGGGAGCTGGTTGGGAAGTGGAGCCGCCGGGACACAGGCAGCACCCTCAAGGGATCTCTGCACTTGAAAGCGGAGGATTAGCCATTGAGCCGTTGTCAGGTCCAGCTTTGGTCTTAAAATGGGGTGCAGTCATTGTGGCACAGGCCACACCACTGCTGTGGCACTCATATCACATGTGGGGCGCCTGGAATCGGCTCCGAGCTCCACTTCTCATCCAGCTCTCTGCTCATGGACCAGGCAGTTAGGCCCGGCACCCTGCCGATGACCTGGTGGAGCTGGCTTCACTCCGGCCCAGTTCCCACCTCTTATAGGCATTTGGGGAGCAAACCCACAGCTGGACGATCTTTCTCACACTTTTTTGTGAGCCGACTCTCCCCAGCCCAGAACCCCAAGTGAAGAGGATGAGATGGGGTAACAGTTTTGCTGAGGGAGTGGCAGCACCCCCTCCTTCTGTGAGCTCAGGCCCGGGTTCTGTCAGCCCAGGAGCCTGCGCAGGGCTGCTGCTTTTCCTAGGGGAGCAATGCCCTGAGCCTGCTGGGGAGCTGGGAATCAGGAGCTCCTGCTCGGACCTGGCTGCCCACCCCACCCATCCCCGCACACTCGGCCTGCCTCCTGGAGGGAGGAGCCGGCCCAGACCCATCTCTGCCTGGGAGGACTCCCTGCTTCTAGAAGGTTTCAAGGCCAGCTGGGGGGAGCCACTCCCTGAATCTGCCCACCTTGGCTTGCCTGGGAGTGCGGCTGCCCTGCTCACTGGTGGAGGCACTGGCTAGGGTGTGGGTGAGGTTGCAGGCCTCCCCTCCACACCAGCCCTCCTTGTTTCCCATCTCTACCCAAGACCCAGTAAGTGGCCTTGAATCCCAGCCCCTTTGCTGGGCCTGGGGGGCAGTGAGGGGAGCTGCCAGGAAGGCCATAGCTGGCTGGGGAAGTGGGCTCTCTCCTGCCAGTCGGCTTGGGCCTGGGGATGATAGATGGGCCCTGCTCTGAGGGCCTCAGCCGTCCTGGCTGGTTCATGGACATGGACTTGAGGCTATTCCCCAGAAGGGCTATGGAGGAATTCATTTATTGTTATCAGTCATCCACTGAAGGGCTGAGACTGGGCCATCTGGTCCTTAAAGCGCTCGTTGTTTGTCAAGTGATTGGAGTTGCCGAGCCACCCACTGGCCGAGCCACCCGCTGGTCCCCAGGCTGACGGTCAGGACACACCTTGCTGTGCTTGGTTTTGCTCTTACCAGCTTCCCTGTACCCCCTCCTCCTGTGGCTGTGCCTGGTGCACACAGCCTAGGTGTGGCCATCACTGTCACCCACTGCTGAGGGTGGAACATCACGGGGCCTTGCAAAGCATGTGGCACGTACGTGAGCAATGGCTCCTTTCCCATCTGCCTCCCTTGGCTGAGGCCAGGCGCCTCCTGGTAGCCCAGGAGGAGCCAGTGCAGGGGTGGAGGCTGTGGCTGCCTCACAGCATGGCGGAGGAGGGGTCGGCTGATGGCAGCCATTTATGTGTCTACAAGGCAAAGACCCAGAAGAGTGAGAGAGCGCTTCCATCCGCTGCTCCGTTCCCCAGATGGCGGCAATGACTGAGACTTTTGAAGCCCAGGAGGCGGGAATGCCATCCGGGTCCCCCACGTGGGTGCAGAGGCCGAGCACTCAGGCCGCCGTTTGCTGCCTTCGCAGGAACGTTAGCAGGGAGCTGGATCAGAAGTGGAGAAGCCAGGATCCGAATCGATGCTCTGATACGAGACACGGGTGTTGCAGGCAGAGGCTTGCCACACTGCGCCGTGACGCCGGTCTGGGTGTGTGTGCAGAGCATCAGCTGCTGGACGCACAGCCAAGGCGTGCCTGGCTGCACTGGGTGGCACCTGGAGGCACCATCTTTTTCCTTCATGGCTGCAGCCGGCATGAGCAAGCCCTGTTCTCCACGTGTCCACCGACACCTGGCGCTGCCGCTGAACTGTGTGCGCATGGCTGGGGGTGTCATGTTGTGTTCCCATTGTGCTGCACCACACATCTTGTGGCTGCTGTCTGCCCTTGCCCGTTGGCCCAGGATGGCTACTGACAGGTGACAGCTTGACTTGCTGTGCCACCTGGTCATTCCTCCCCCTCTGGACGTGGTGTGTGCTGTGTCCCACCTCAGGCACAGCATGGTTGTCTGCAGCCAGGACTCGGCCTGCAGGCTGCAAAGAGGAGGTGGGAGGTCAGAGGTCAGGAGAGGGGCGGCCAGGTTCTGCTCCCAGCTAGCTTAGCCCCTTGAGCCCTCCCACTGCCCATGCGGTGGGAGATCGGCCTGAAGTCCTGGTGTGAACCAGGATACGAGAGCTGCCAATACACACGTCAGCCATTCATCAGTCAGAGGGCACAGTCCACATTAGAGCTGTTGGCTCCTCAGGGTGCCCCCTAGACCCAGCAGGGGGAGACGAGACTCCAGGTGTCTCCCCGGGAGTCTTCCCTGTTCCCACGGGCTCCAGTGCTGAGGCTGGTAGTCCTGGCGCCCCCCTTGCCTGCTCACGGCCGCCTTGCCCCACTCCCTGTCCCATGGGGGATCCCCCCACCCCTGCTGCCTCCCCAGCCACTGCTGTGGGCAGGGAGCTCTGGGCTATGACTGGCTCAGCTTGGGGTGCACAGGGAGGAGCCCCGAAGGCCCTGGCCCCTGCACATCTGGACCTGTTCTCTGCTCTTTGCTGGGGCCCCAGTCTCATGCTCTGAGAATTCACTTTGAAGGCTTTGTGGGAAGGGCAGGGGGAATTGGGGAGCAAAAGCTCCTGGCAGGAAACCAGACTCCTACCAGCTCCCAGCTCATCCCCAGCCTCCCAACAGCCCCCCTTTCCAGCCCATTGTGCTCAGCGGGGCCCAAGCCCGCAGGTCAGATTCCAGCAGCCACTTGCGGTCCCGCACACAGGGGCCCAGCTCATCCCGTTCCCCTGCTGTGTGAGGCCCGGGCAGAAGCTGGAGGGGCTCCGGAGGTAACTGCGCGCATGCGTGTATACGCACCGCGGTTTCCACCCGTCCAGGCTCGCCTGAGCCA